GTCTCAGGGCACTCACCTCCCGCGTCTCTGCACTCACCTCCCGCGTCTCTGCACTCACCTCCCGCGTCTCTGCACTCACCTCCCGTGTCTCAGGGCACTCACCTCCCGCGTCTCTGCACTCACCTCCCGTGTCTCAGGGCACTCACCTCCTGCGTCTCTGCACTCACCTCCCGCGTCTCTGCACTCACCTCCCGTGTCTCAGGGCACTCACCTCCCGTGTCTCTGCACTCACCTCCCGCGTCTCTGCACTCACCTCCCGTGTCTCAGGGCACTCACCTCCCGGTCTCTGCACTCACCTCCCGCGTCTCTGCACTCACCTCCCGCGTCTCTGCACTCACCTCCCGCGTCTCTGCACTCACCTCCCGCGTCTCTGCACTCACCTCCCGGTCTCGCACTCACCTCCCGTGTCTCTGCACTCACCTCCCGCGTCTCTGCACTCACCTCCCGTGTCTCAGGGCACTCACCTCCCGCGTCTCTGCACTCACCTCCCGCGTCTCTGCACTCACCTCCCGTGTCCCTCAGGGCACTCACCTCCCGCGTCTCTGCACTCACCTCCCGTGTCTCAGGGGCAACTCACCTCCCGCGTCTCTGCACTCACCTCCCGTGTCTCAGGGCACTCACTCCCGCGTCTCTGCACTCACTCCCGCGTCTCTGCACTCACCTCCCGCGTCTCTGCACTCACCTCCCGTGTCTCAGGGCACTCACCTCCCGCGTCTCTGCACTCACCTCCCGTGTCTCTGCACTCACCTCCCGCGTCTCTGCACTCACCTCCCGCGTCTCTGCACTCACCTCCCGCGTCTCTGCACTCACCTCCCGCGTCTCTGCACTCACCTCCCGTGTCTCAGGGCACTCACCTCCCGCGTCTCTGCACTCACCTCCCGTGTCTCAGGGCACTCACCTCCCGCGTCTCTGCACTCACCTCCCGTGTCTCAGGGCACTCACCTCCCGCGTCTCTGCACTCACCTCCCGCGTCTCTGCACTCACCTCCCGCGTCTCTGCACTCACCTCCCGTGTCTCAGGGCACTCACCTCCCGTGTCTCTGCACTCACCTCCCGCGTCTCTGCACTCACCTCCCGCGTCTCTGCACTCACCTCCCGTGTCTCAGGGCACTCACCTCCCGTGTCTCTGCACTCACCTCCCGCGTCTCTGCACTCACCTCCCGCGTCTCAGGCACTCACCTCCCGCGTCTCTGCACTCACTCCCGCGTCTCTGCACTCACCTCCCGCGTCTCTGCACTCACCTCCCGTGTCTCAGGGCACTCACCTCCCGCGTCTCTGCACTCACCTCCCGCGTCTCTGCACTCACCTCCCGCGTCCTGCACTCCACCTCCCGTGTCTCAGGGCACTCACCTCCCGCGTCTCTGCACTCACCTCCCGTGTCTCAGGGCACTCACCTCCCGCGTCTCTGCACTCACCTCCCGCGTCTCTGCACTCCCTCCCGTGTCTCAGGGCACTCACCTCCCGTGTCTCAGGGCACTCACCTCCCGCGTCTCTGCACTCACCTCCCGTGTCTCAGGGCACTCACCTCCCGCGTCTCTGCACTCACCTCCCGTGTCTCAGGGCACTCACCTCCCGTGTCTCTGCACTCACCTCCCGCGTCTCTGCACTCACCTCCCGTGTCTCAGGGCACTCACCTCCCGCGTCTCTGCACTCACCTCCCGTGTCTCAGGGCACTCACCTCCCGCGTCTCTGCACTCACCTCCCGTGTCTCAGGGCACTCACCTCCCGTGTCTCTGCACTCACCTCCCGTGTCTCAGGGCACTCACCTCCCGCGTCTCTGCACTCACCTCCCGTGTCTCAGGGCACTCACCTCCCGTGTCTCTGCACTCACCTCCCGCGTCTCTGCACTCACCTCCCGTGTCTCAGGGCACTCACCTCCCGTGTCTCAGGGCACTCACCTCCCGTGTCTCTGCACTCACCTCCCGTGTCTCTGCACTCACCTCCCGTGTCTCAGGGCACTCACCTCCCGTGTCTCTGCACTCACCTCCCGTGTCTCTGCACTCACCTCCCGTGTCTCAGGGCACTCACCTCCCGTGTCTCAGGGCACTCACCTCCCGCGTCTCTGCACTCACCTCCCGCGTCTCTGCACTCACCTCCCGCGTCTCTGCACTCACCTCCCGTGTCTCAGGGCACTCACCTCCCGTGTCTCTGCACTCACCTCCCGTGTCTCAGGGCACTCACCTCCCGTGTCTCTGCACTCACCTCCCGTGTCTCAGGGCACTCACCTCCCGTGTCTCTGCACTCACCTCCCGTGTCTCAGGGCACTCACCTCCCGTGTCTCCGGGCACTCACCTCCCGTGTCTCTGCACTCACCTCCTGTGTCTCAGGTCACTCACCTCCCGTGTCTCTGCACTCACCTCCCGTGTCTCAGGGCACTCACCTCCCGCGTCTCTGCACTCACCTCCCGCGTCTCTGCACTCACCTCCCGCGTCTCTGCACTCACCTCCCGCGTCTCTACACACTCAGTGCTCATGTCTCAGGGCACTGCCCATGTCTTGCTCCCCCGCCCCCGGCTTTTCTTTGTGACTACTGGCTGTGAAGGTGTTTTCAAAGCGGACCTCACCATGGCAAACCTCAAAAGGACTTGTCTCCATGAGGTCATCGTCCTCTGTCTACACAAGAAGCGATCGTTTAGCTGGCTCTAAAACTCTGAGCTTGAACTTCTCCTTCCGCACTTTCAAAGTGACCTTCTAAGATCTTGCATTCACAGTTGCTGTTGAAAATCTTGTGTCAATAGAATTTTTATTTCTTTGAAAGTATCAGCTAACTTACATGACCACAAGGTCCCCCAATAGGCCATCAGCAGGCTGAGGAGCAAGGAGATCCAGTCCGAGTCTCAAAACTGAAGAACCTGGAGTCCGATGTTGGAGGGCAGGGAGCATCCAGCACGGGAGAAAGATGTAGGCGGGGAGGCGAGGCCCATCTCTGCTTTTCACGGTTTTCTGCCCGCTTTATATTTGCTGGCAGCTGATTAGATGGTGCCCACCAGATGAAGGGTGGGTCTGCCTTCCTCAGCACACTGACTCCTGTTAGTCTCCTTTGGCAGCACCCTCACAGACACACCCAGGATCAATTCTTTGTATCCTTCAGGCAGTCGGGTTGACCTCAGTGCTCGGTGTTAACTGTCTCAGGCCCTGGTGTTCTTTGGTTTTCCTGTAGCGCCTCTAGCCATGGTTTTTCCTCTGTCTCCGTTGACTCTCAGTGAGCCTTCCAATTCCAGGAAAACGTGGCTCATTGTTTCTTCAACTATTTTCTGCGCTCCAATTATTTCTGTCTCCTCCCGGGGTTTTAAGAGAGACAAGGATGCTGACACCTGCGCGTCCCCCTCACCCCTTGGAGCTCTTAAGAGGGTCCTCCATGCTTCCTCCCTCGCTGTCTGCGGTCACCTGTGTCTCACTCTTGCTGTGGCCGGTCCCCTCAGCCATCCAGCAAGTCCTCTGCACCTGACAGTTTTCCTTGCCCTTCGTCTTTAGTGGAGGCGTCTTCAGGATCCCCCCTCCCCCCTCCCTTTCTGGCCTCTTGCTCTGTCTTCGTAGCTTCTGGGGAGCGTGGCATGGGCTGTGCACCTCCTCGCCCGGGCTGCCGGTCCGTTTTCTTTCTGTGGGTTCCGCCGCGGCCAGGATGCCTTACTAGGTCCGTTTTCTTTCTGTGGATTCTGCCGTGGCCAGGACGCCTTACTCAGTCCGTTTTCTTTCTGTGGATTCTGCCCCAGCCAGGACGCCTTGCTGGGTCCATTTTCTTTCTGTGGATTCTGCCCCAGCCAGGACGCCTTGCTCGCTCCGTTTTCTTTCTTCCAATGGCAGCTCTCCAAAGTCTGGCTTCCCTGCAGCCCAGGTTCCTCTGGGGTCTTGAGCCCTGCTGACCGGCAGCCCACAGGGGTGGACAGGCTCAAGTGCAGGCCTTAGTTGCTCCTACAGCAGGTTTGGGGAGGTGGGTGGTGCCCTTTGTCCTAACCCATAGCCTGCTGGCACCTCCTGTGCCCCCTGCCATCCTGATGTCCCAGGACACCAGCTCAGACAGCCACTAGGGAGTATAGGCCCCTGCCCTGACCGAGAGGCGCCATCAGGGTCAGGGTGAGCCCCACAGGGCAGCCTGAGAGCCAAGCCCAGGACGTGGTACAGGAGGAGGGGAGAGGCAGGTCAGGGCCCAGCAGTGTTGGAGAATCTCCTTGTCCTGCTCCGGGGACCCTGGGTGCACGCTGGGCTGCGGAGGCCAGGGGCTGGTGGCCTCGTCCCTGTCTGTCTCTGTGGGACGTTGGTGAGATACAGCGCCATGGCCTTGTCTTGCTGGTGGCGGGCTGGGCCCTCTGCGACAGGCACTCCGGGACGGCATCTTGCTCATTGGAACTCAGCCTCTGCCTGGCAGACAGAGGGAGGGAGTTGCCAGGGCCAGGGCCGTGGCTCTCAGAGGCGCCTGCTGAAGCTGTGGTACAGCCCCAGGTGTTTCTGTGGGGACGCAGGGGCTGGAATCCCCACTAACATCGCGGTTTTACCTCGGCGTGAGACGTGGGTTGAAACCCTGTGTGGAAGTGTGCGTTCTCTTCTCCTTGAGGACCATGTGGACACCCCGTGGGTGGCCTTTCCAAGTGGCTGCCGCCTCAGGCCTGGGGGCTGGGGAGGGCTGCAGGCTGCCTACATCTCACGGGCACAGAGTGCTGGGCAGTCTGGGCTCTCGCTGCTGCCCAGCTTCTTTACAGCCTGGCAAATCCGTCTGATCAGGCTGGCCCTTCTGCAAAGCCAGGTAGCACAGTGCGTGAACTGTATGGCCACAAGGCAAGACGGCCGGAGCCCCCAACGCACGCCATGTTCTGGCAGAGTGTGGCCTGAGCTGCTGCTCCAGGCCTCACCCTCGCCCGTGAGGTTCAGATAGCAGGCACCCACCTCAGGACTGTCGGAAGATGGAACACGCTAACGCGTAGACGCATCCTAACTGCCCAGTCTCGCGGATGTGCCTGGCGGGTTGTGGGAGTGGTGGCAGGGAGTGGACACGTGTCTGTTTCAGGGCTGGAGGCAACACTAGAGAAAGACACAGCTGCGTGGGGCTTGCGGACAAGGATGAGGAAAGACGAGGAGGCGTCGGACCCCACGTCTGCGGCTGCTCAGCTGCGGTGGCTCCGGGAACACTTGCCGCCACCCTCGTCTGCCAGGTGACTCCCAGTGTCCTGTGTGCTGAGCCCCTGCCTGGCACTGCCACAACCTCTGCTCAGAGCACTGGCTGGCCTCGACAGGCTGCTCAGTGCCTTCTCTGGATATCTTGACGGAAGCCTGGGATCTGCACCCCCGGCCGGGTGAGCACTGTTGGTGCCATGTTTGGGTTTGTCAGTGCCAGCATCAGCTGGAGCCTGTGTGGGGCTGGGCCAACAAATACCCTTCCAGACACTGCTCGTGCCTCTGAGAGGAGCCCCCAGGGCTGGGGTTTGAGAGGCAGGTGTCAGGTCACCCCTGGGCCAGGGCGAAGAACTGCAGACCAGAGGCCAGCCAGGGCCCAGAGCTTCTCACAGGACCTCAGTGGTGGCTCTGAGGCCCGGGTGTCGTGTGGCGGAATCCATTGCCCACCTGAGCCGACCTGAGGCCCCGGCCGTGCTGTGAGGGTGGAGAGGGAGAGGCGGGTGGCTGTGGCTAGCACCAGCAGCACACAGTCAGGATGTCCTGCTCTGTTTCTGTAGCCCCCCCAGAGTGTTGCCAGAGTCACAGGAGGCCCAGAAGCTGGCAGCAGAGCGGGCCCGGGCGCCCGTGGTGCCCTACGGCGTGGACCTGCACTACTGGGGCCAGGAGCTCCCCACAGCCGGGAAGATCTTCAAGTGAGTCCCCATGTGTCTGAAGTCGACCAGGGCACACAGCCAGGGTCCCAGCCTGAGGAGGGGCTGCTGGCTTGCCAGCCCTCCCTGGGTCTGAGGAAGCTGGCCCCGCCTCCCAGCTCTGCCCCACCTTCCGGGCACCTGGAGGGGCACAGGGATGGGCCTCCCCTGCTGAGTCAGCTCGTGGAGCCCAGCAGGGCTTTTGTGAGCCTTTCTGCTGCTGCGTCGGGGGCCGTCCATGGAACGTAAGTGTTATCAATCCTGTGGGAACAGCTGGATGAGAAACCGCTTCCCTAAAGGCGGCCCTGGGGCCCACTGAGTTTGTTCTGCTTCAAACTGCAGTTGGCTGAGGTCGGGAAGAAACAGCCGTCCCTGCCACACATTGCCACCAGGGGTGCCCCAAGGCCAGCGCTTGGTTTTGGAGCCTGGCAGGTGACACCCAGCAAAGCTCCCACCTAGAAGCGGATGCCTGGCTCTCTTCCCGCCTGCCTGGCCTGTCCCCAGGACCACAGGCTTTGCCCTGACCCCCTGGGCAGTTGGGCTGAGAGAGAGGCCTGAACAGCTCCTGGTGAGGACCCGGTTAGTCCTGGATGGCACCAGGGCCCTGCTGGGCAGGCCTGGCTTCATGCTCCACCTGCCTGGCCCGTCAGCACCACACACTTGGTGCATCAAGCTCATGGTTTCATGTTTCCCCCAACTGCCTGCAAACTGCTGCAGTGGCCGGCTTGATGGAGTTGCAGCCTGAACATGGCAGTGGCCTGGGCTGGGGAAGGGCCCCGTGTCAGCCGCGTGGGTGGAGGTGCGTGGGCTGGTGCAGGAGATGGCACCTGGGTGCCATGTATGCCCCATAGGCAGTTGAGGGCCACACTCCTGCTGTCTGGCCCCTAGCCAGGATGGCAGAGGCTGCTCACCCCACATTCCCTTGCCAAGTGGAGGGGTCCTGCCCTCTGGCTCTCTGCCACATTTAGGGATCTGGAGAGCCTGGGCTCACGCCTTTCAGCCAGGAAGTCAAGACGATGAGAGTCCAGGAGGCCAGGGCCTGGCCAGGCCGTGGTGGGAGACAGGGCTGATAGGGCTGGCGCCCCTGGGCCCTGGAAACAGCTTGTTCTCCACAGCCTCTGGAAAGACCCCTGCCTGTGAGGGCCTCGTGGCCACAGGCAACCACTAGAATGAAGCCATGCTGGTACACAGAGGGCTGGCGGGCCCCGGCTGGGTGCAGTGGCTCATGCCTGTAATCCCAGCACTTTGTGGAGGCCAAGGCAGGTAGATCACTTGAGGCCAGGAGTTCGAGACCAGCCTGGCCAACATGGTGAAACCCTGTCACTACTAAAAATACAAAAATTAGCCGGGTGTGGTGGGTGCCTGTAATCCCAGCTACTCAGGAGGCTGAGGCAGGAGAATCACTTGAACCTGGGAGGCGGAGGTTGCAGTGAGCTGAGATCGTGCCACTGCACTCCAGCCTGGGCGACGGAGCAAGACTCTGTCTGGAAAAAAAAAAAAAAGAAAGCCAGTGGTCCTCGGCCGAGGGGAGCCCAGGGCAGCCGAGGGGAGTATCCCTGCGCCTGGATGGGGAGGAAGCGGTGCAGCCCGTGGTGTGGCTGCTGTGCGCCGGGTCAGTGCGGTCCACAGGGCGTCTCTGGTCCGAGTTCTGGGTGGCAGAAGGCGTCGCTGCTTCTCACACGGGGCCTCTCCTGGTGTGGCAGGAGGCGTTTGGCCAGGCGGTCAGGCACCCTCGGGGGAGCCGCATGTACCCCTCCTGACCGCAGGGCACACGGCCAGGTGTTCTTCTTCAGCCCACCAGGGCTTTGCCCCAGATGCCTCTCCCTGTAGTGGGGCCAAGGCCCCAGGCAGCACCTTCTGCCTGCGTTCCCACCCGCTGCCTTGTCCCAACCCAGCCTCATCCCAGACCAAGGTGGGTGCAGAAATGAGGTCCAGGCAGCCCCAGGGCAGGGCCTCCTGCTAGTCCTTCTCCCTAGTGTGGGCCGTGCCTGGGGCCGTGCTCCTGTCTGTGGACCCGGGGCGAAGGCAGGGCTGCTGGGCTCTGCTCCTCCAGCACCCTCGGGCACAGGGTGTGGCAGCCCGGGAGCCTTGGGCAGAGCCAACCGTTCCCCAGTCAGCAGGCGGTGAGTGGTGTCTCTCATCACTGGGAGCCCTTGGCACTGTCCATCTGTCCTCCCCAGTTCCTGCTGGCCCCGAGTGTGGCTGTATGCCCTAGAAGGAGGCCTGGTGGCAGCACAGGGACAGTCGGGTCTGTGTGAGTTCCCCTCAGACACTTCTCCTCTGCCTGGGCATCCAGGTGGGCAGGGGGCATAGTTCTCTGAGGCCAGCCTCCTCTGAGGCCAGCACACCCATCTCCCCCATCCTGTGGCATCCACAGGAAAGCATCTCTAATCAGGCTGGTGACAGCAGCAGAACATGGGACCGGACCCGCCTGGGAGACCTGGGACGCCTGGGAAACCCAGGGCCGCGGAGTCTGGTCTCCAGCCCCTGGTCCCTCTGTGCTGCCGAGGGCTGAACAGCCTCCACTCCTTTTCCTGAGTGCGCTACCGCCCTGTCCTTACGCTCCTGCAGTGGAAAGACGACCTTCGTGTGCATGTCCCGTAAACCTTCAAGGTCATGCCTCAGGGACCCAGCAGCTATCGCCCTTGCCCTGTAGGGAGAGCCCATCCTGCAGGTGGCAGGTGTGCCCATGGTCTCGCAGCTGGTTCATGTGGCGTCAGAATTCAGACCCAGGCAGGAGTGACCGTGTTCTCCTGCTTGAGTGCTGTCTGCAGGGTGGGGTGGCTGGGCTGCGGTGGTTTGGCCTTCTCCTGTGCCTGCACCACCTTGGCCACACTCCTCTGGGATCCCTGCAGATGCTCTGAGGGCCTCTGGCTCTGTCTGCAGATCTGACTCCGAGCACCGCTTCTGGAAGCCCAGCGAGGTGGAGGAGGAAGTGGTCAATGCCGACGTTTCTGAGATGCTCCGGAGCCGCCACATCACTTTTGCAGGGAGGTTTGAGCCTGTGCAGCACTGGTGTCGCGCCCCGAGGCCAGACGGCCGGCTCTGTGAGCGCCAAGATCGGCTGAAGGTGAGGCCGTGGCCTGAGGGCAGGGGTGGGCGTGGGCTGGACCAGGGTGGGGCAGCCGGAGGGGTGCTGAGCCCCACCTGCCCCTGCCCTGGGTGGGGAAGCACTGAGAAGCCCATGGAAGGGGCTTGTCCATGGTGGGCAGAAATTTCTTAGCTGTTGGCCATCAGAATGGTGTCTGGGGCTCCTGCCCAGGGCCCTGAAGTCTGACACTTGGGTACATGGCCTGGGGACTCTCCAGGGGCCGAGACACACAGTGTCCTCCATGGTTGCAGCCTGGGTCTGTGCTGGGCCTAGGCTCCTCAAAAGTGAGGAGAGGCCGGGGGGCCAGGGCAGCTCCCAGCCTGGCAGCTGGGCATGGTGCAGGGGGGTTGCTGTGGCCGTGCTGGCGTGAGAGAGGCCTAAACTCTCCACAGCTGCCCAAGAGCTCCCGGCTCCAGGGGGAGGACAGAGCCACCCACACGACTCTCAGGACGCCCTCCCCTGAGGATTCCAGGGTTGTGTACACTTTGGCTCTGCGATGCTGCCCTCCCTGGTCGCTGTTTGTGCCTGAATCGCGGTGGGGGCAGGTGGTCGAGGCGGGTGGACCCCTCCCCGCTGTCAGCCACCATGTCCTCGCTGTGCAGTGCCCTTTCCACGGGAAGATCATTCCAAGGGATGACGAAGGGAGGCCACTCGACCCGGAGGACAGGGCTCGCGAGCAGCGGCGGCAGCTGCAGAAGCAGGAGCGCCCGGGTAGGTCTGGGCAGGCAGGTGGGGCGGGCGCCGTGGGAGGCACAGCCTAGGACTCTGCCACTGGCTGCCTGGGGCACGTCTGCAGTCATAGAGCACCCACTCTGCCAGCTCAGTCCACAGAGCTACACGCCCCTCGGTCGTAACTGGTGGAATCAGGAGGGGATGCTGCCCCGAGGGTCTTGGATTTGGGAGCTCCAGAGGAGTCTCCGGCTTCAGGGGGAGTTACGTGTTCATGAGACCCCGACCGGGAGGTGGGCACCCAGGGCCCCGAAGCCACAGGTGCCATCTGTGTGGCTGGGTCCTGCTTCCTCGTGTTTTCAGGCAGGTGAAGGCCTTGAGGCGAGAGAATTGATTGGGCTGAGCCCGGAGTGACTTCCAGGAACCCCTCTGGCCTCCTCAGCCATGCCCCGCACCTGCCTCAGTGTGCAAGTGGTCAAAGCTCTGTCCAGGAGGCGTGTGGCCACTGCTATGGCAGCAGGAGTGCGGGTGCCCGGAGGCTCTGGACGGCAAGGCCACTGTGGGGCAGCACTGCCACATCAGCAGGGCCCATCTGTCTGCCCTGCCTCCCCCCGGGCTCATCTGCCCCCCATGCCTCCCGAAGGCTCATCCCCGGGTGGGGGTGCGTTTCTGTTTTCCAAGGAAGACTTTGTTTTTAGAGGCCCTGGCCAGCCTCAGACTCTCTCTCTCCTTTTTAAATCTGATTTGGCTTTTTTTTGAAGCAGGGTCGTTCTCTGTCACCCAGGCTGGAGTGCAGTGGCGCAATCATGGCCTCCCAGATTCAAGCCGTCCTCCTGCCTCAGCCTCCCGAGTAGCTGGAATTACCATGCCACCGTGCCCGACCAAGTTTTGCATTTTTATTTTTGGTGGAGGTGGAGTGGCACTGTATTGCCCAGGCTGGTCGTGAGCTCCTGGACTCAAGCGATTCTCCTCCTCACCTCCCACAGCGCTGGGATGACAGGCGTGAGCCCTGCCCAGCCTCAATCCCTTCTGGAGAGTGGCCACGCCTGCAGCTTGGCCCTGGCCTGAAGCGGGGGTCATACCTTGTCTTGAAGAGCAGTGCTGGGGGCCCGGGGGCCCTTCCAAGCCGTCTCTGTCGTGGCTCCTGGGCATCTTGCACTCCGGTCATGAGAGGCGGATGTTGAGTGCAGCCTGAAGCCCAGAGGCAGCAGCTCGGCCCTGGGCGGTGGGAGGGCCCTGACCTGCTCGTCTCTGGGTGAGGCCTTCCCTGGGGGCTCACACTCAGGAGCAAATTAAGTGCCTATTTTTTGTGTCAACCCTGAAGAGTATCTGGTTTTCCAGCCCTTGGTGACTTGTTAACAAACAGGTATCAGGCCGCGGGCTGCGGCCAGCGCTGGCCAGTCAGATGTGAAATAGCATCTCTTTACTAACTACAGTATTGATCCCCGCCTCCCTCGCGCACGGCGCAATTTTCCTTTCCCTGGCGCTAACCTCAGTGACAATGTGCGTGTGCTGCAGGGCCCGTCAGCGCCCAGGAAGGCGCTTCCCAGCATCTATTGATTTTCCTCAAAGGCTTTTAAATTGCTCCTTCATTTCACTGAGACGCTCGCTCCATCTCTACTGGGTGCCGGCGCCTTTTCGTTGTGTTTAAACAATTGCTCCATTCACTGGGTTCCTAAACTGTGACGCCTTCTTATTACTGGGAGATAAACTGTTTGGACAGTTTTCCTTAATCTTGGATTAATCGTTCCTGTATCTGAATTGTGGGCCCCGTATTCCTTCACTTCAAAGAATCCGCTTGGGAGGCCTGGCCATCAGTCCAAGGCGTAGGCATCCCTTCAGGGATGTGCCTCCGTGGCGTGGTCGCCCCCGTGGCCTGGTCCCACTGACTCAGCTCATGGGGTCCTGTCTGCAGGAGCAGGTGCCTCTGGAGCATCAGTGCCCAGCCCCCTTCTGCGAGCCGGGGTTGTCTGTGAATCCCTCGGCCATCACTGTCCCGTTGGGTGGCCTCTCTGAGCCCGACCAGTACCACGCCTGGTGGAGGCCTTCCTCCGTCTTGTGTGGGGAACCCCACGGGAAGCCTGGGCCTGAGGGCCTCGGTGCCCATCTGCACAGTGGGTGCTGTCAGCCTGGGAGGCTGCTTAGTGGGGCTGGTGACGTTTGTGTCCCCTCACGGCCACAGGGCCTCAAGCAGACAACGCCTGGCTTGCTTGGGAAGGGCAGTTCTGTCTAGGAGAGCCCCACCCTGCATTTCTGAGGCCTGAGGCCAGGTCATCTTTAGATCAACGAAAAAGAAAAGCCCTTTGCTGAGCATTATGCTTGGCCCAGCCCTGCCGCACATACCTCCCCACCAGCAGGCGGGTCCAGCAGGGCACAGTTGGCCTAGTGGGGCACGGTCCAGCCCGTAGGCAAGGAAGTAGCTTGCGGATGGCACCAACCGCCAACCGCTGGCCTTGGCCACCTTCCAGCCTGGGAGGTCCATGGGTGCCCTAGCAGTGGCCTCTGGGCCCAGCCCCGGCTCCCCATCTCTGGGCGGCAGGGGCCTGTGGGGGTGTGGGGCGGTGGGGACGAGCTCTGTGTCGCCTTCACCCCACAGGGACCAGCGTGCCCACCCTCCCCAGCCTGTTGCTCAGGGAACCCTGCCCGCCGAGCTTCCTCTCGGGCTTGCTGGTGCCAGGGTACGGCTGTAGGCAAGCCCCCCCGGCCCCGCTGTCAGGACGAGACCAGGAGCCCCTCCTGGGGGCCTCGGGCAAGACGGGCTGTGGTCAGTGCCAGCTGTTTCCTGAAGTGCGTGAGTTTTGTTTGCAGAATGGCAGGACCCTGAGTTGATGAGAGATGTGGAGGCAGCCACAGGGCAGGATCTTGGCTCGTCCAGGTACAGCGGGAAAGGCAGGGGGAAGAAGAGGAGGTACCCCAGCCTCACCAACCTGAAGGCTCAGGCCGACACGGCCCGCGCTCGCATCGGGAGAAAAGTCTTCGCCAAGTAAGAGTGGCTGCTGGGCCACCTCCCACCGCGTGGCCCCAACGTGAGGGTGTTCGGGGGGGCCATCTGAGCTCCAAGATATTCCAGGGACCTGGGGCCTCCAGGGGCTCCCCTGCTTTGAGTTCCCCTGGGGGACCACCCACCCCTTCCCCTGGGAGGGGCAGTGCCAGCCAGCAGGGGCAGCAGGCAGGGTCTGGTCAGGAACGCCCCTGAGCATTCCCCAGGATAAGAGGGGCTCGACTGCCAGGCACCATCATCCTCGCTTCCTGGGGGAGCCGTGTCATGACACAGGCCTCGGCTGGTACAGAGTGAGCCCCCTCGTCTCTCCCTTGCCTGGCTGTGCCCCCAGGTCAGTGCCTGCGTATTTCTGCAGCGGTGACTTCAGGGAGGGTGGTGACTGCAAAGGTGGCCACAACAGAGGTCCACGCATCAGCCCCAGCAGAGCCCACTCCCAGCGTGGCTGCTCTGAGCACTGGCTCTGGGAGGCTGACCTGGTGTCTCTGCAGCCCAGCGTGGGCCTGTGTGACTGGTGAGGCCTCGGCAGGGCCAGAGTGCAAAGCCCACCAGCCCGACATCCCTGCATGCGGTCTGTCCGCTGGGGCATCAGCCGCCCACACGGCCTTGTGTTTCTGTCTTCACATTGCCTTTTTCTCGCCCAAGAAAATCCAGAATGCTTGCTTAGAAGCCACCTGAGGCTGCTGACTCCCTCCCACATCTGTGCCAAGTCCCTGCTGGTGCAGGTTTATCTGGTAGCGCCAGTGAGGTGGCCCCACCCATCGCCGTCCCAGAGACCCTCCCTTGGACACCCCTGGAAGGTGCTGAGTGCGCCGGGCAGAGGCGGCCCCTCCTGGCCAGCATGACCTTGCACCGGCCTGAGTGTGCTCGGGCGGGAGGCGCCTTCGCAGCGCTCAGACCACGCATCCCCTGGGCTTGTGGGTGGTGCATCCACAGCTTTGCTTGGGTGGGGCAGGGGTGCTGGTGGGGGCTGCGGAGAGGCTGCCTGGGGCCCCTGGCACAGAGCTGGACCCATCACGTCAGCCAACCACACAGGGCGCCTCGGCCCCTGGTAGCTCACGATGAGGCTGTTTTCCTGTGGACCAGCCAGGGGCAGAGGCCAGCCTGGGTGCTGATGCCCAGCAGCAGGCACGGCTAGTGGCCCCGTGCCAGGCCTCCTCCCTGTGTCTCATGGGGACAGTGAAGCCCATGGCAGGAGCTGGCTCTTCACAGCAGCTGTGTGGCCCAGAGCCCTCCCCACAGAAAGGACCTGGGGTGACCACAGGCGAAACCCTGCCTTGAGGGGCCCCCATAGCAGTGCCTGGCAGCCCCACAGGGCCACAGCTGAGCGGAGGTTTCACCACCTTGTGGCCTCAGGCCCTGCTGGCTCCACACCCTCGTGTGTCGTGGCACCTGAACTGGTCAGCACAGCACACCTCATCCCGCTCCCCGGAGTGCCTGCCCTGCCCACGCCCTCCCTGCTACGGCCCTCCACATTTCCATCCCTGGCTGTAGAGCTGTGTGTGCAGCCGTGGGCAGGGCCGTCCTGATGCCTCCTGGCTGCATCTCCTGCAAGGCCACTCCCCAGGAGACCAAGAGGGAAGCTGTGCCCTCATCGTGGAGTGTGGGAGGCCACAGGAGAAGTGCCAAGGTGGGGCTGGGGCCACCTTCACCACGCAGAACCACCCGCCACAGACCCCAGCTCTGGGACCTGGGTGGCCCTTTCCAAGCCTGCCTCTGTCTTGGAACAGGGCCAAGGGTCCCGTCGCCCATCTTTCTCTGAGGGTGGCACCCACAGGCAGTTAGCATCCAAGGGCAGCAGCTGCCCCAGGACCAGTGCGTAACCCTGGTGATGCCACCATTGGGAGCCCAGGCCCCTGGCGGAAGCCTCCCAGGTCACATCTTGCCTTGTTTCCCCACAGAGCAGCTGTGCGGAGGGTCGTGACAGCCATGAACCAGATGGACCAGAAGAAGCACGAGAAGTTTTCAAACCAGTTTAACTATGCACTGAACTAGAGAGCTGGGCCCAGTGCACTGGCCATTAGCACCTTCTCCCTCTGCCAGTGTCTCAGGACAGCAGAGTGGGCGTGGATCTGGGCAGTAACCGTGCTTTGGCTATTACTGTGTTTGATGTAAAGAAATGGCACATTGAAATGCCCTGAAGGTCTGGCCGTGCTGCTGCGACAGGGTTCGTCGTCATCTGGTGACGGGTCTGTCCTCGTAGAAGAGGCCCTTGGGCCCGGAGATGTGAACACAGGCGGCAGCCCTGCTCCAGAGGGCATCTGCGAGTCCTCGTGAGGCCAGTGCATGTGGTGGTGCGGGGTTCAGCACTGACAGCGTGTGCGTGCAGCTCAGCTTTCAGAGCTTGCATTCCCCAGCTGGGAGGCGACCACTCAGAGGAACTCTGGGAAACCCACTTTTATGCAAATGTTGTTTTTAACACAAACACAAAGGCCAGTGAACCGTTCACTCATCTGCTTTCTGTTTCTGGCTTTTCATACGACATGTGGCCTCTTGTGCCTGGCTTCTTGCACTTGGCATTCTGTTTTCAGGGTCCATCCATGGAGTTCCCCTCCGACGTATAAAACAAAGGAGGTGAAAACCTGTCCATGTGGAAGCTCGTGCACACATGTCCACAGCAGCGTCGAGGGTACTGAACATCTCCTGTGCTCACGGGCCGTTTGTGTACCTTCTTTGGAGAGGAGTCTGTTCAAATCTCTTGCCTATTTTTAATTGAATATTTGTCTTGAGTTGTAACCGTTTTTTTCTCTCTCTTTTAGAGATGGGCTTTTGCTCTTACCCAGGCTGAGTGCAGTGGCACGATCATAGCTCATTGCAGCCTCAAACTCCTGGGCTCAAGCCTCCTCCCACGTCAGCCTCCCAGGTAGCTGGGACCACAGGCACACGCCACAACGCTTGGCTAATTTTTAAAATTTTTTGTAGAGACGAGCTCTCACTGTGTTGCCCATGGTGGTCTCGAACTCCTAGCCTCAAGCAATCCTCATGCTTCGGTCTCCCAAAGTGTTGGGATTACAGGCATGAGCCACCACTCCTAGCCAGGAGTTTATATGTATATTGTGAATACTGGATCCTCATGTGATTTGCAAAAACTTTCTTTTTTCTTTTTTTTTTTTTTTTTGAGACAGAGTCTTGCTCTGTCGCCCAGGCTGGAGTACAGTGGCTGGATCTCAGCTCACTGCAAGCTCCGCCTCCCGGGTTTATGCCATTCTCCTGCCTCAGCCTTCCGAGTAGCCAGGACTACAGGCGCCCGCCACCTCACCCGGCTAGTTTTTTGTATTTTTTAGTAGAGACGGGGTTTCACCGTGTTAGCCAGGATGGTCTCGATCTCCTGACCTCGTGATCCGCCCGTCTCGGCCTCCCAAAGTGCTGGGATTACAGGCTTGAGCCGCCGCGCCCGGCCTCTTTTTTCTTTTCCTTTTTATTTTTTTTGAGACAGAGTCTAGCTCTGTCGCCAGGCTGGAGTGCAGTGACCCAATCTTGACTCACTGCAAGCTCCGCCTCCCGGGTTCACGCCATTCTCCTGCCTCAGCCTCCCGAGTGGCTGGGACTACAGGCGTGCACCACCACGCCCAGCTAATTTTTGGATTTTTAGTAGACACGGGTTTCACTACGTTGATCAGGCTGGTCTTGATCTCCTGACCTCGTGATCCGCCCACCTCGGCCTCCAAAGTGCTGGGATTACAGGTGTGAGCCGCCATGCCGGCCGATTTGCAAAAACTCTTCCATCCTGTCCATTCACTTTCTGGATAGTGTCCTCTGAAGCACAAAAGTTAATTTTGATGAAGTCCAGCAATTTTTCTGGGTTTTCCTTTTGTTACTTATGCTTTTGCTGTCACATCTCAGAAGCCATCGCCTCATCCAAGATCACAGAGATTTACACCTGGTTTCTGATAAGCATTTTATAATTTCAGCTCTTATGTGTAGATCTTTGATCTGTTGTGAGTTAAGTTTTGTGTGTGGTATAAGAGCCCGCATTCTTTTGCCTGTGGATATCCAGTTGTCTCTGCACCATTTGTTGAAAACATTATTTTTCCCCATTGAATTATCTTGGCACCCTTATTTATAATCAATTGACCAAAAATGTACAGGTTTATTTCTGGGCACTTGACTCTATTCCATTGACCTTAACCTTATGCCGGTACCACAGTGCCTTGATCAATGTTGCTTTGTTGTGATAAGTTTACTTTGTTCTATTTCAAGGCTGTTTTGACTATTCTGCATTCCTTGCATTTCCAAATGAATTTTAGGATCTGCTTATCAGTTTCTTCAAAAAAAAAAAGCAGCTGAGATTTTGATAGGAATTACATTAAATCTAGAGATTGCTTTGGGATGTATTACCATCTTAATATTAAATCTTCTGAGTCATGAGCTTCTGATTATCTTTCCATTTATTTGGGTCTTTTTAAATTTATTTCAACAGTATTTTGTAGTTTTCAGTATATAAGTCTTTCACTTATTTTGTTAAATTTACTCATATTTTATTCTTTTTTATTTATAACCAAAGGATTATAAATGCAATTATAAATTATTAAAAGATTATAAATTGCATTTATAAAAGCAATTATAAATGTAATTGTTTTCTGAATTTCATTTTAGGGCTGATCATTGCTAATATGTGGAAGTACAATTGACTTTTGTGTATTGATCTCGTATCCTGCATTCCTTGCTGAACTTGTTTATTCATTCTAATTAGTTGTGTGTTCCTTAAGATTTTCCATACACAAAATCATCTGCATGTCATCTGCAAACAGCTGTCTTTCTAATCTGGGTTTCTTTTATTTCTCTTACCTAATTGCTCTGGCTGGTACCTCCAGGACAATGTTGAATAGATGTGGTAAGAACAGACATCCTTGTCTGACTCTTGACCTTAGCAGGAAGCTTTCAGTCTCTCACCATTGAGCGTGATGCTAACCGTGCTGTTTTGTGTAGATGCTGTCTACCAGGTTGAAGAAGTTACCTTCTCCTCCTAGTTTGTTGAGTGTTTTTGTCATAAAGTGTTGAATTTTGTCAGATGCTTTTTCTCCGTGTGTTGAGATGACAGTAGAATTCTTGTCCTTTACTCTAGTGATACGGCATATTACATTGTTTCTCATATGTTGAACCGACCTTGCATTCATGGGGTAAATTCTACTTGTTCGTGGTATATAATCCTTTTTTTATGCTGCTGGATTTAGTTTGCTAGGATTTTGCATCTGTATTCATGAGGGATATTGGTCTGTAGTCTTTTTGTGATGTCTTTGTCTGACTTAAGTCACGTCACTACTGACCTCATAGATTGAGGTGGGAAGTGTTCCCTCCACTCCTATTTTTTGGAAGAGTTTGTGAAAGATTGTTGTTAATTATTTAAACATTTGGTAGAATTTACCAGTGAAGGCTGGACTTTTCTTTGTGGGATTTTTTTTTCCCTAATTCAGTATCTTCACTTATTATAGATCTGTTTAGTTCCAGTAGTTTGCATCTTTCCAGGAGTTTGTCCCTTTCTAGGTTCTTTGTTGCAATCTGTTTATATGCAATTGTTCATAGCTTTAAAAAAAGTGTTTTTAACTGACAAGGTCTCACTCTGTTGCCCAGGCTGGAGTGCAGTGGTGCAATCATAGCTCACTCCAACCTCAGACTCATGGGCCCAAGTAATCCTCCCACCTCAGCCTCCCCAGTAGGAAGGACCACAGGCATGTACCACCACATCCAGCTAATTTTCTGACTTTGTTTGGTTTGGTTTTGTTTGGGACAGAGTCTGGCTCTGTCACCCAGGCTGGAGTGCAGTAGCACAATCATGGCTCACTACAGCTTCGACCTCCCAGACTCAAGCAATCTTCCTATCTCAGCTTCCTGAGTAGCTAAGACTTCAGGGGCATGGCACTATGACTGGCTAATTTTTTAAAAGCTTATTTTTGGTAGAGATTGGGTCTCACTATGTTGCCCAGGCTGGTCTCAAACTCCTGGCCTCAAAAAATTTTCCTGTCTTAGCCTAGCAGAGTGCTGGGATTACAGGCATGAGCCACTGCACCCAGCCCTAAATTTCTTTAAAATTTTTTTGTAGAGACAAGATCTCGCTGTGTTGCCCAGGCTGATCTTTGTCAAACTCCTGGCCTCAAGCGACCCTCCCACCGTGACCTCCCAAAGTGCTGGGATTGTGGATGTTAGCTGTTGCTCCCAGCCTATTCATAGTATTTTCTGGTTTTAGTAATTTGATTCTTCTCTCTTTTACTCCCCTTAGTCAGTCTAGCTAAAGATTTATCAATTTTGTTGATCTATTTAAGAAACGACTTCTGGTTTTGTTTATTATTCCCTATGATTTTCCATTCTTTATTTTGTTAATTTCCACTGTAACCTTTATTATTTCCTTTGGGTTGCTTTGGGTTTTGTTTTCTTTTTCTTGTTTCTTGAGATGGAAAATTAGCTTATTGATTTGAAATCTTTCTTTTTAATATAGATGTTTGTAGCTGTAAATTTTTAATCTCAGCACTGATTTACTTCATCCCTTAAGTTTTGGTATATTGTGTTTTGCCTTTTTTTAATCTCAAAGTATATTCTGATTTCTCTGGTGATTTCTTCTTTTACCTCTTGGTTATTTAAGAGTTTGTTGTTTAATTTCCACATATATGTGAATTTGTCAAGTTTCCTTCTGTTATTGACTTCTTTTCCTTTTTTGTTTTTGAGAAACAGGATCTCACTTTGTCTCCCAGGCTGGAGTGCAGTGCCGTGATCACAGCTCACTGCATCCTCAACCTCCCACCTCAGCCTCCCAAGTAGCTGAGACTACAGGCATGAGTCACCAAACACAGCTAAATTTTTTAAAATTTTGTTGTAGAGACAGGGTCTGACTGTGTTGCCCAGGCTGTGTTGGAACTCCTGGGCTCAAATGATCCTGCCACTTTAGCCTCCCAAAGTGCTGGGATTACAAACGTGGGCTACCATGGCTGACCTGTTACTGATTTCTTATTTCACTCCATTATGGCTGAAGAACATAACTGTATGATTTCCTGT